TATAGTTCAAATTAATTTATCTTCTGTGAGGAATTTAATTGGGACAATTCAAATAAATCACAGGATGTACAGTCCAGCAGTGTTTGAAAGTCATTTAAAGTGATTACATATATAAAATATGCTATACATATATATATATATATATATATATATATATATATATATATTTTTAGGGGGGACACAGGGGACATGCCAATCAATGTTTAGGACAAATACATTCATACTTTAATCTGTTGCCAATGAGCCTGTTCACCTGTAAGATGTTCCAAACAGGTGTTTTTTGAGCATTTTACAACTTCCACAGTCTTTTGTTGCCCCTTTTTTGAAATGTGTTGCAAATCAAACTCAGAATAAGAGTATATTTTACAAAAAACAATAAAGTTGATCAGTTTGAACATTAAATATCTTGTCTTTGTCCTGTGATTAATTGAATATAGGTCAAAAAAGATTTGTAAATCTTTGCATTCTCTTTCTTTTATGTCCACACAGTGTCCCAACTTTTTGGTCATGATTCATATTTGTACAGTTGCTCATCTGTAGCATACATTCCTGCTTTATCTGTGCTTTCCCCACACCATCCTCACACTAAAGCACAGCTGCCTATAATCTCCCCCAAGTTAACTTTAAAACCAACTTTGGTGCACTTGTCCGCACACATACACACTTCACTGGTGGATGAACTGAAATCATATACAGATTTTTAAGCAGGTCAGAAGGTTAATCCCCACATCCGCCAACGTCTTAATCACACCAGATTTCTTTTTTTTTCTGCATATGAGTGAGAGAGAGTAGAAAGGAATACTGTCCGTCTTTCTCTTTCATCTCTCCCTCATTAAATCATTGACCCGTTTATATAACTGCCTGTGCAGAGCTTGTCACCACTGAGTAAACTCACTTTAGCACCTGTCAAAGCAGGCTTGGTTGTACTCCTGTAGTTCTCACTTTCTCTTGACAGCGCACTGCTCATTTTGCCAGTCATATTTTACTCAGTTACAATTCTTTTAACACTCTGAGACTCTAGATAGTATGTAGATAAATAATCTGAAAGCAGGGAACCTGGAGAGTCATTTGAGTTGAAGTACATCAGGGTGTGTCAAGTTTTTCTAGTCATAAACATTCCCATGCACAATTAAATCTCATAAGGTGTGGTTGCAATTTTTCAGTTGATACCTTTTGTTCCACAGATGTGGTGCTAAGTTTAGGCATTTTTGACCATTTGAGCATTAATAAAATTGGTCAAAATCCCTCCAAAATACCACATTAAGACACCAAGACCCCAAGGGACACCAAAGAAAAATCCATGCTGTGATTTGGTTTCAAAAACTTTTATGACATTTGGAAATTAAAGAATTGCATTCTTCAGTGATTGGACAATGAGCACTACTTTTCTCTGTCTATGCTTTCCAGTCATACCCAATTTATGTAATTCTAGACTGCTGAGGGACCCCAGTATCCAGAAATATATAAAAAATATTCAAATACAGGGGGTGTGAATAACACATTTGTAATGCATGACAAAAACTGAATAGGACTAGCATAAAGTGAGCATGTCTGCAAAGGGGAGACTTGTCGTGGGTAGCCATAAAACTCATTTTCATTTGGATATCTTGAAGTGAAAGGTCAAGGAACACCTGTGAAAATGTCCATGCCAGTTTTTCACTCACCAAAACTACATTTGGAGCAATATTTAGCCCTCTTCCCCACAAGCTATAGCATGACAGCCTGCTAAGGTCCTCTGACAGGCTGTAATGTTGGCTGAAATTGCTGGCAGTCCCGCAGGTCTTCTACTGTTAATCAATTTAAAAGGAAAAAAACAAAATTAAAACCTAATGAACATATTGCACAAAACATTCTGGTATGACTGATTGGTGCTCTCTCAGGGAATAGGTGAAAACTGAATAGCACCATGTACCTTGGTCACAACAGTGCTGACTGGTTTCAACCACCTCTCTGTGTTCACAGCCTGAGGCAGCAGCATCCACTGCTTGCTTGTAATCTAAACTGTGTGATGGAGAATGGAGTAGTTCTCAGATGGCAGTGAGAGGATGCAGTGGTGCAGGGGATCCTATGTAGGAGTCATCGGATAATTAGCCTGCAGACCACATCACATTGGTCTGCACATTGGTTGTGTTCGCTAATTTGACTTCTGAACCAAAGTCAGAGGACAAGGACAAGGCTTATAAATATCAAATAGCCAAGAGGAAAGTGCAGCTGTGGTAGTGAAACATAAATTTGGTTTATACTGACCTACACATGCAGAAGAGCTGTGGAGTTAGCTGCTCTCCATTATTGTAATAAGTGACAGTGCTGCTGTTGCAGATAATGACTGAACTGCTGACTGAACGGCACCTCTCTCGGGGTACCTAGCACAGTGATCCAGTACTTAAAGGTGAAGCATTGCAGTCCATTGATTGGTCAACAGAGAATCGACACTCTTGCTCAGGGATGAGTTGTGGCTGATTTTGAAGCTTATGTAAACACTGCTCATACCGAATATGTTCAGTTTTTCATACATTTGTAAAACTTAACTTACTGAATAAAAGGATGTTTTGCTGCCTTTTCATTTTTACTGGTTACAGTTAGCAGCTATAGACTGAGAAAAATGATTTAATTCACTGTATCAACTGCTGGCAGCTACCTGAAACGTATTAGGTGGATTGTGTACTTGCATGTTACTCAATGCGTGGGTTCACCTGCGTAAGCAACCTAACTATACATCACCTCCAAAACTTTCAAACTCAGCAGCTAGACTGTCGACCAAAACAAATGATCCTAACACATCACACCTATTTTGGCTTCCCTGCATTGGCTTCCAGTCTCTTTAAGAATCAGTTTTAAAATTCTTTTAATCACATGCAAGACTCAATGATTTGGCACCAGAGTACATGACTGAACTTCTCACACTGTGCCGTACAAACAGGCCCCTCAGGTCTGCTAGTCTGGGTCTTCTAACTGTTCCAGAGTCCAGGTTAAAAACAAAGGGTGATCGAGCCTTCTCAGTTCTTGCTCCTCGGCTTTGGAACAGCCTCCTACTGAGCATCAGATCAGCTGACTCTGTTCACGTCATCTGAAAACTTACTTTTACAGATTGGCCTTTCCTGACAGTTGATAGACTTATTGTGTGTATGGGAGTGTATATATGTATTTGCAGCCATGTGTATATGTATGCATGCTTACAGGTATATATGTGTTTAAGTGTATATTTTGGTGTATGTGTTGTATATGCTCATCTTTTATTAGTATGATTTTTGTTTTATATTTTCTTCACCTTGGAGCACACTTTGTGCTTTCAGCTTGAAAATTCTTCTTCTTCTTCTTTTTCTTCTTCTTCTTATTATTATCATTATCAAAGACGTGACTTAATCAACACACCTTAAATGTCAGTTTGACAGCTTTAAACCATTCCTTTTGATTTAATTGTCTTTCTTGGATGACATACACTGTAGTGATGATTGGATCTTTAAGAGTTTAAAAAATGTTGATGGATTTCAGAGGAATGACGTGAAATGCAAGTACTTGTTTCCTCACTTGGACAAAAAAGTGGAGAAGCACCATTCTGGTGCAATCTGGTAGCACTACACCCCTGCTCTTGCTCGACCCGCTATTTTTAAATATCCCATTGAGAGAGACTCTCACTCCAGCTCTGTTATCTTTGTTCTGAAAATGTCAGCATTCAAACCCTGTTCTGTGGATGATAAGTGAGGTGCAGATGTTCCTCTGTATCCCTGGTGAAGAGGAAATACAGCAAGTGCTGATTGGAGCTGTGAGTGACACAGCCCCTGCCTACATTTAAGAGTACTGTCTGTGGTGGAAATGCTAAACAGATCTAGGATCTAGGTAGCTACATGTCTCTGTAGGTTACATACAGTACTAAAGGTGATATACCCCAAGTTTCAGGTGGAAATTATGCAAGCATGTACAATGCATACCCACTGACTAAATGTTTATGAGATGATGGAGCAGATTTAATGAATGAGTAGAGTACTGACAGAATGTAGGTTATTCATATTTTAGTGAACGGGGGCATTACTCTTGTGGCTCAAAATACTATAACTCTTTGCTGTTGCCATAGTGATTTTAACTGCTGTTATGCAACTGCTCCACTTGGCAGCAGCAAGCTTAACAGAGCAATGGGCTACGAGGACGCACATGCACACACTTGGCAGTGACTCTACAGTGTGTGTGGTGTAATATAAATTTGCATATGCACAATATGATGACAGAATGGGATAAATTTGATGCTTTGTAGCAGCCCACTGATCCCGAGGCTGTTATGCAACACTGGCTAACACCCCCCTCCCCTCTTCCCAATAGAGTGGAGCTGGAAGAGTTTATCTTCTTCATCACTCTATTGTCTCATCTATCAATCTTTTTATCCTTCTGCAGTCACACAGCACAGAAACAGCACATGCCCATCCTGCTTCAGGCTGAATCTGGCTCTGCTTTGGCAGTCTGCTGAACATATACTGGTTTCTGAAAGTGCTGCGTAAATATGATATGTGTTTATAATCCCTAATACTGCCCTGAGCAAATCTCTTGAAGATTTAAGTCCACCCGAAACTGAAAAACATATAATTTCCCTCTTACCTGTAGTTTATCAATCTAGATTGTTTTTTTCTAGATGCAGAGTGTTGGAGATGTTTGCTGTAGAGATGTCTGCCTACTTTTGAATATAATGCAATTCGGGGCACTCGGCTTGTGGTGCTAAATGCACCGAATAATACATTTAAAAAACTCAGAAGCAGTCTTTCTCTCCAGAGATCATGACCCAGTTACTCAAGATAATCCACAGACCTTGTTGGGAGTAGTTTCATGTAGGAACTATTTTCTTTCTATCAAACTGTATCACTGCACAGAAGAAAGAATGCATCTACTGCTGCTTCACCGAGCACCACTGAGCTAGCTAAGGTTACAGCTCAGTCAAGATGGACGCCATTAATGTTTACATCTCGTGCTGTCACAAGCACGAGCCTCTTGTCCATGAGTAGATGCACGCTTCCTTCTCCGCAGTGATACACTTGGCAGGTGTAGGTTGGTAGAAATAAAATAGTTTCTACATGAACGTCTTCAGCAAGGTCTGTGGATTATCTTGAGTAACAAGATCATGATTTCTAGAAAGAGACAATGGGTCTCATTCACTAATATGAGTGTAGATATGCTCTAACTCTGCACATAAAACAAATGTGCACACAAAATTACCATAAGATGCATGATATATGCACACCGGCATATTCTAACCTTACCGTGTTCTCTGCTGACACAAGCATGTGTCTGTTTAAAAGCTCTTCCTCACCCAGACTGTCCGTTCTCTTCACATCACACAGAGCCTGTGACTCTGACTCGTCTCTGTCAGCCTCAGACTGGTTAGAGACTGGCTGAGGCAGCCCAGGATGTTGTGTCATCACCATTTCCCTGTCAGAACAAGCGTTGTCTCTTTTTAAACATTTTTGGATCAATTCTTCTAGATTGAGGGAGGTCTGCAAATGTGAATCTAGTGTCTTGGCTGCAATCCACAACATTACATCACTTTACAGGCCTCAGGCTTGGTATTTGCTCCAGTTACTTGCCTGGAAAGTAGGTGGTGTGAGTGGGCCTGCTCATATTGATGCAGACAAGTCCTGTCATACTTTACAGGATATAAAGTAAAGATAAAAGATAAAGATGTAAAGATATTAATTAATCTGTTATCACATACTTGGTATACACTTGTACACACCAAGGAGATGACCTCACATGCTGGATATTTCAATAAAATTTGATTGTTGCAACATTAAAATTTCCAGTGGGCAGGAAGTCTGTGGTTTCTGTCTTTAACCCAGTGATTAAAAAGCTCCTGGCCTTGTCAACAAGTAACAGCAAATATGAAAGAACATGCAGATGTTAACACAAACCCAAGTCTGTATTTTCTTCCCCAAAAAACTGTGGACAACACTTACACACACAATAGAGGTATCCAACCATGTCAAATAACAATTTCAATTATTATTATTATAACATTAATAATATGGAATGTAGTCTTTTTCATTCTATGTACGTGTAATGCATTCACTTGAAAAAAATTGTGCTATGTTTCTGAGCCAACACGATTATCTTGTTAATTTAGAAAAACAAGCAGAAATTTTCCCCCTTGAAATTCTGAGATAATAATCTCATGAATCTAGAGCAAAGCTTTTCTCATATAATAATCTCATTAATTAAAAACAAATAATTAAATAAAGACACTTTTTTTTTCTTGAAACCTTTTCTCATAATTCTGGAATAATAATCTTTTTTAATTCAGGAAAACAAGCACTATTTTTTCAATTAAATTTTCTTAATTTAGTCTGTGATAATAATCTTGTTAATTTAAAAAAAGATGCCGTTTCTTTTCCATTAAAACTTTTCTCATGAGTTTGGGACACTAATCATGTTAATTATGAAAAACAAGCACCATAATTCTGGTATAACAATCCATTTTTTTCCTCAAGTGAATGCATTACTTTTCAGGATCATTCATTCACATTATGTTTTTAGAAATTTCAGTTTATTTTATGAGACTTCTTTAAAAAGAAATCATGTGTCCCTGATACTAATATGGATATAGTCTCTTTGAGTGAAGATGAACATAGACTAGAAGGTGTTGGCTCACTACCTCCCCTCCTCTCAACTCCTGCTCTCTTACACAGCCCTGTTCCAGAGGCAACACACACTTCTTCAACAAAATGTGTTTGTATGTGCAAAATGCTGAAACCGTCTTTGGAATTGGACATAAGGAAAAGATTTCTACTTTCAAACTGCTTTTTTTGCTGCCTACCCTTTTGTCCTGAGGGTGACCCCAGTAAAACAGAATGAAGGGTAAATCACTGCATCAGTCTCACAGATGGTTCGTCTATGTTATATGCAGGTCTCTGTCATATCCCAAAGATGGACTTATATATCAGGAATACTGAGAAGCACCCGTGGCAGAAACAGGACCATTGAAAGGCCTGCTACAACAAGATATAATTTTAAAGGGGAGAGGAGAAATCTCTCTCTGCTTTGTAATCCAGTCCTCATCTTTCTTCATTGTGTTACTGTGCATCTGTGTCTGAATGTGTGTGCGTCATGTCAGTGCTCAGTCTGTGCTGTGATTCTCCAGCTCAGAGATGATGCTGATCAGATTCTGGAGACCAAACATGTAGCCGTTGTCCTGGCCCTTGTGCACCACGCTGTCCTCTTGGAAATGTGTGCAGGAGAACTGGCCTAAATCTATGATTCTTACATCCACCAAGGGGGCACGAGGATGTGAGTGGGACAAGTGAGTCTGGCTGGCATCTGAGCTCCCGTCACTGATGCTGCCATCGCTAGATGTGGAGGGTCTACGGGGAAAACCAAGTGAACCCGGTTCTTCAGCCACGTCCGCATCCTCCTCCTCCATTTCTGGTTCAGCCTCTACATTCTTGTCCTCATCCTCTTCTTCTTTAGAAAGGCTGTCCTCAGTGTGTTTTTGTTGGGATGCTGCATCATAGATGATGAGCAGGGAGCTGGACCAGAAGTGATAGGAGTCACAGGCTTCCAGGGCAACTTGCAGCTCTCGGAGCCTACGCAGCACCGGGGCAAAGAGTTCACGTCGTAGACGCCTGCCGCTGTGGAAGAACTGGAACAAAGCCTCCTTGAAGTCCTGAAGGGTCAGCCTGCGGCCAAGGAACTTGTTTATGAACATTAGCTGGCCTGCATCACACTGGTACACCTGAAGGGATGTAGAGACATAGAAGGGTTGGAAAGGTAGAGAAGGAACACTGATTACTTCTTTAACACCAAAGATTTGTTCCAAGTCCTGTCTAAAATTGGTCTTGTTTCCCCTTGACTAGACCGGCCAGCTAGTTTTACAATCAATTTACTGTTTATTGTACACCTATTGTTTTGTGTCTTATTTTTATTTTTTGGTTTCTACTTAAACTAGAAAAGCGTATTCAGTCACAAGATTGCAGATCTCAGCAAGGTGGCCGAGCAGCTGCCTGGGCTGACCGCGGCCACCCTAGACTATTCTTTTAATTCTTGCAGATGCAACGCACTGTGTTCTAGAAGCATCCCAAAAACTAACTGAAATAAGCTCCTTGTCTACTTTTGATGGAGCAGTTGATGACGGTATGAAACAGACAATAAAACAAGTTTTTTCAACAGTTTTAAATCACCAAAACCACAAGAGGTCCTGGAGCATAGTCATAAACATGCACACAACATATTAGGCTGATTGGTCCAGTAGTTTGCAAGATTAGTTCTGGACAGATACTTAAACATGCACAGATATGCGCACACGCACACACACACACACACACACACACACACACACACACACACATACACACACACACACACACACACACACTCTCTCTCTCTCTCTCCTAGGTCCTAGATAGGTCACAGCTAGTTACAGTGATACAGTAAGAGGTCGGTCTTCTATTGTTCCCAAACAGTTACAGGTGCACTAAGAAGAAATTGCTGACTACACTTTGTACAGCAATGAAAGTCATAGTCAAAGTAAACCCCAGTTTAGTCCATTTGCTGTTTTGCCTCACTATATTTATGTGTTTTTGGCGGTGTCTGCAATTTTGTTAGCTTCCTCTTGGATGCATGCTTCTTATGGTCTGACATCCAGAGAGCCAGGCTAACTGTTTCCTGTTTATGTGCAATGCTACGCTGACCAGCTGCTGGCTGTGGGCTTGTATTGTATTATAAGAGAAACTTCTGTATTTTTCAGCCCTGACCCAATTTTTTCATCTAAGTGACTAACAAGAACAACACTTCTTGACATTGTTCCAGTATTTCTCAAGAGCACTGTATCTGGCAGCTGCGAAACGTGCTGAAATGTAATCTTCAGGGCAATAGCACACTGTCAGTGTACATCCACTTGTTTTGCCACCGACAGGCAGAAAAATAAAACGTTTTTCTTTACCTTCCACTTGATCTGGTCTGTTTGTTATTGTCTTCCTGCAACAAGTCACCTCTCAAAAGATTTCAGAACAAGACTTCTCGAGTGAGACTTAGTTGGATACAATAACAAACAGACCAGATTAAGAGAAAGGTGAAGAAAAACCTCTTTGTCAGACACTTATAACAGCAATCGAGCCTAAACCCAATCTGAGTCAATGGCAAAAAAAGCAGTTTTAGTGGACGTATATTTTCCGAAGTGCCTTGATGATTTCATTGCAGTATGTTTCACGTCTGCAATACCCTTGGTCAGTACTGAAACCAGAAATTGTTTTCCCCACTCACTTAGTCCCAAAACCATGGGAAAATAGAGTCTAGGTTGACTGACAGACATATGACATTGGTATAGATCTTCTCACCTAACTCTCAACCAGAAAGTCAATAATCACGTTTCCAAAAATGGCGAACTATTCCTTTAAGACAGAGCCATTAACACTGAAGCCAGTCTTGGTAAAGGCCCACCTGCATGCCACCTATGTAGACTCCTATTAGGTTTGATGTGCTATGCTGGCACTTGTGTTTCTTCATTGCCTTCTTCTCCTCTGTAACTCCGTTTCCATAATGCTGTGTGCCCATCTTGAGGTCCAACACACACGGCATCGTGTACCGCCACGTCAGGTCCTCCAGCAGGATGAATTCTGGTGTACTGAGTCAAGTAGGCCAGAGTCACAGGTTTCACTGTAGTCACAAACATGCTATAATCCTTGCAATATATACAGGCAAGTCACAGCAATATCAAGTAACTGAAGCCTTGTCTCTACCAAAACCTTTCGGTATAGTACTTTTAGAACCAAAATAGACCGTAGATCCGTTTAACATTTCAACCACGGTACTCCTAAAAGTAGGTAGGGTTGTTGTTACTCACTGCTCTGTCCAGCTTTCGCTGAATTTCCTCTTCAACGGTGATACAGAGTAAAGTCCTCACCTTATCATCCACCAAATGGGGTTGGCATGCCAATATTTTCACATAAAATAAGAAGAGGCTGCAGTGAGAGTTTCAAAACCAGCCACAACTCAGCCCTGAGCAAGAGTGTCAATTCTCTCTTGACCAGTCAATGGACTGCCGTGTTTCAAGCTCCACCTTTAGTACCGCATTAGTGTGTTTGGTACCTCAACAGAGGGGTGACGAAAAATAGGGATGGCTCTATTAGTACCATCCACAACTTTTTACAGTGGAAATGTAAAAATAATCGTTTTAATACATACCAAACTGAACTGAACCGAACTACTTGGTAGAGACGAGGCTTTAATGGAAGTGCTTCAGAGGTGTTACTTCGCAGGAAAAAGACATTGATAATTGGACACTGTATTAGATAACAGACCTCAGGTCCATACTGAAGCCACTGATAATCTTGTATACATTTCAACTGTATTTAACTCGGCAGGTATTAAGGTGTCCTGGTAGCTCAGTTGGCCATGCCATGTCCTTTAGCCTGGAACCTCTGAACAATTATTCCTGTCTCTTCCTATTAAAATTTGGCAAAATAGAAACCAAAGTGTGGTTCTCAGTCAATGAAAGGATACTGTATTGGTTGCGTTGCATGGCTCTGTCCTTCACCTTCTTCAGGTAGTACTGTTGGCTTGCTGAGGTCCAGGGTTTGTGTTTGAGCTGTGGTACAGCATTAGTATGACTGTGCTCCAGGCTGTAGTAGAGAACATTGGTTTCCTGCAGCAGCTTGTAAACACTGGAGGGTAGACAAAGAAAGCATGTCGTTACATTTTGGCGCAAAGGAGAAAAGCAAAACAGACCCAATGTATCTTCTTGTGTATGTGGTTAGAGTACGTATGTGGGTATTACAGCATAAAACAAAAGGGCAGTGATAAACTGTTCTATCGGATGTAAAAAGAAACCTAATGGAATATCGTAGCTCACTATCATCCATCCAAAACATTCAGTATCAGTCTCTACATATATTTTGCCATCAGCCATCTGGTTTCACCACTCCAGAGGCCTGTATGCTATGAAGCTGGATTTGGGGTTAGCAAGGTAGCTTCAGCGTTAACCCTGGGTTGTTTAGCTCTACAAAGTTGGTTCACTTTTTGCCAGGATAAATCACTGTGGTAAGTTATGCTGAACAGCTAATCTGCTCTGGAGCAGGTTTACTTCAGAGTATGGGATCACAGTCTGGCAACAGCCCAACCTGTTTGTTCCTGACATGGACAGGTACAAATATTCTTTATAGGTCAGTGGTAGCAGCAACAGTCTGGCCTTACTTTTTTATGTGACATATTCAGAGTAGTTTCTTCATTTTCATCAACTAAACAGCAAAAAATACTCACTCTGTATTTAACTTATATCTAAATATATCATACATATTTTAAGCCTTGGCCTACTTTTAATATTTGAAAATTATGTCTAGTGTTTCTACACCTTCTTATTTTGTTAGACTTACCTTATTTATGGTTCTGCTGATGTCGCTTTTAATTAAACAACCCTGCCTCTTTCACATGAATGCGATCGTGGCTGGGTAGGAAAACCCAGCGTTGACTGAACAAGCTGATAATGAGTTTTGTGATATTTGACTGCCAATGTTAGGGTGATTAAAGCCAGATAAGGAAAATATATCCCTGGTATGTTGAATTGGCTTGGTAATATAGGCAAGGGATGACTGAGTTCTTGTTTGTGTATACGCACAACCATGCATCTATTGCATTTGTGTAACCCTGTGGCTGTGACCCTCTTTCTGGCTGCCAGGGTCAAGGATAAGCCTCTCACAGTATTTAGAGCCAATTTTGCATTAAGTTGTACGTGTGAGTCTTAAATTCATCATGCTTGTGTTACAGTTCTAAAGTGACCAAAGCAATTGTCAGTTTATTTTACATGAGCCTCAATTTAATTGTGAAAGTGACTCACTTTGTCACTGCCTGTTCAGGCACTGACTGCACCTTCTACTTTATCATGAGTAACAAGTCGCTCAGTCTACTGCTGTCTCTCTTTCATCTCACCCTTTATCCTTGTCTGTACAATGGCTTTGGCCATCTGTGCTGTCATTTTTGCTGTCCATAATTTTCCCACCCATGAGCATCTCGCTTTTGGGCTCACAGTCGACCGAGGAGTTCTTGTTCTCCAGATCTGCCTCTGGATCACATTGGAGGGGGTAAGCAATGAAGGAAATGTTCCCTTCTGCATCCTCCTCGAAGCTCACTGACACCACACCTGAGAGCAGGACGCAGAGGGAAACAGAAAGACATCTGTGAGACATTTGTGTCATGGAGCGGTGAAGAGAGCATGTCTCTCATAAGAATCAAAGCACAATGACGATGACAAGATAAAGGACCTACCCAGTTGTTTGTGCCAACACCCACATCTCTTTAAGGCATCTTTTGACAGATGGGACACAGAGACACTGACACAGAGACACTGAGCTCTCAAAGCAGCACATGTGCGGGCAGTGGGCTCTGATTGTATAAAAAAAAGCTCAATGCAATGCAATACATGCAAGTAAGTGCTACTGGTATAGGGAATCTCTTGCGCTTCAGTCCTTCGGCAGTTGGAGGTCGGTGCTTCTCAGAACAGGACAATTTAGATCAAAATAACCCCATGGAGGAATCCACAAGAAAAGCACTGGAGTCAATTTATTAATGACTAACGTTTCGACGCCAACTGCTCTCTGATGAAGACGCAGTTGGCGTCGAAACGTTAGTCATTAATAAATTCATCACAAGTGATCTGAGTGCTCCAGTGCTTTTCTTGTGCTCCAGTGCTTTTCTAGTGGATTCCTCCATGGGGTTATTTTGATCTAAGTGCTACTGGTATTGCATGGTTTCATTCAGTGGCATTTTATGTAATGTTACAGCTCACATAATGCTCCTCAGAGGAGTTGTGAAAGGTGCTTTTTAGCGGATTTCAAGCCAAAACCTGCAACAAAAACTAGTCCTAGTCAGGTTAGGTCTGCAGCATAAGTTACCATGGTGAGAGCCACTTTTGTAGGACTGAAAACTCTGGCTTTAGACTCAACATATTTCATTAACTCAGTAATCTCACTTCACACCCATGAGGAAGGAAGAGGCTCAAAATGACCACAAAGAAATATGAAATGAAAAGAGATGCAAAACAGCTGCGAAGAGACAAAGCAACTACAAAGAGACAAAAAAAAAACCACAGAAAGATGACTACAAAAAGACACGCAAAAAAGAGGCTAAATAACTATAAAGTCTGTGTGTCTTGTTCCAGCTGAACAGAGGTGGAGGGGTCTTGTATATGTGCCAAGGGACCCATTGTCTCATAATCCGCCCATGATCATGCTCTGTTTACTTTTTACACATCCTTAAAAGTGTGTCATGTGCTGTGTTAGTACAGACTCCCATTGAAGGCTCAGCCGCAGCACCCTCCTGTGGCCCATTTTGGCACATAAAAAACAACACCTGAGCAGGAGCTGGGAGATCAGTATCCTAAAAAATCTCAGAATTAGGTCTACGCTTCAGAATCAACATGGAAATATCAATTTCCACCTGACATGAACAAATGTGCACATGGAGCAGTGAAATAAAGACAGAGATGCATAACAATACAACAAAACAAAACAGCGTCAGCACAGGTTAGTAAAGCATAGTTGGCATTACCTCTGTACTCGGGGGTAAACTTCCTCAGTGCAGCAGGCACATTATTGTAGAACCAGTGTTCACGGGGGAGGAGGGGTTTGCAGATGGTCTGCTCCCCGAGGCGCAGAACGCAGCAATGTCCCCCCACTTGGTGTGCGAAGGGCTCAAGAATCACCCCTTTTTCCATGTAGCACTGCTGGTGCTGCTGCTGCTCTGCATCCATGGCCTTCTGGGCCTGAGCCTCCACAGCTGGACCCATCCTCCTCTGGCCCTGACCACACTACCACGGGCATTAGGAAATGAAGGTGGACGAAGAATAGAAACAGAATACAAGGCCAAGTTTTAATGGATATTTAATTCCTGTTTCTTTCCTTGTCTGGCAGTTGTTCAAGCTGAGAATAACTAGTGCTGCAGCAGCAGATAAAGCAAACAGAGGCAGATCCTGCTTGTGCTTCCACTGCAGACTGGATGCTGTCTGACAGCTGAGAGGTGACTCACTACTGGTAAAGCTCTCACAAGCCTGATACTGGGCCCACCCCCATCACAAGTAATCCACCAATCAGGAGTACCCAAAGGGAAAGAAGGTAGCAAAAGACAGTGGTGGGAGGGGGGAGCCCTGGGGGAAGGGACAGAGAGAGGAAAGAAGAAAAACTAGGAGTGATGGGGACACTGATCAGCTGTTTTTCTGTCTATGACAGCAGGGTTTTAACAACCTGACAGAGCAAGCAGCACTATTTCCTCATATGAAGTGAGGGGTAGGGAAAGGAAAACAGGTTTAACATTTAGCAAAACAAACAGGTTTTGCACCTCAGTGCTTCACAAAGACAGACATATATATTTATAGATTCAAGCTTAAAGAAATACATTATATGTGCACAGATGTTGTGGAAATAAAGCAAGATTAAAATAAGTTAAAATAGAAACAGGTTTACACACATTTAAGACCCAGTGAATCAGATTAAAATGGCTCAAACACAATTAAAAGCCAGAGAATAAAAGTAGGGTCTTAAGGTGCATCTTAAATCATTAAATCCTCCAGTGTGGAGGATTTAATGGCATTTAGTGGTGAGGTTGCAGATTGCAACCAACTTTCTCTTGTGCCAAGTGGGAGAACAGACTGCACAGACTCAAATCACCAGCGCAAGATGACAGTGGCTGTATCTGGGATAGTTTTGGCTTCATTTTTGTACAGTGGGAAGACATGAAGACATGTCATCCATCCTTTTATTAAGTCTATGGCAGGGATGGGAATTAACAACCACAGTTTTATGGTGATTAGCATCCATGATAAGTTGCATGACTGCCACCCACTAGATTTGATCAATTTCACAGTGCAAACTATTTGTGGCATTAACGGGACCCGTTAATGCCACACCCGGTTGTCTGAGCTGGTGCAAATCCCTCCCTCAGTGTATTATCTACATCCTCTCCAGATATGTCCCAACCTTCAAGAGTCTCCTGGCAGTGTCCAGCACCATCTAAATCCTTTCAACTGCAGGATTTACAACAATGGCAATTTTTGGCAGAAACCCCCTATGGTCCATGCAGATATACTGATCTGCTGATATTTCTTTTCTGTTCCTTTTCTTGCACTCCCACAATTTCATCATATCTCATTCTCTTGGTAGCTTCGGCATATGATAATCCCCTTTCTATTTTCACAATTTCCCTGACAGTGCAGGCACTTTGCTTTCTCTTTGGCTTCTTTGCCCTCTTCCACACAACAATTTACCTTCCTGCATTTTCCCCATCTTCTAACGCCTCGACAGACTGCAGTAACATCTGAGAGGGGCTGTCTCATATGGCCTCACTCTTTAACACACATACTCACGGCACTTTCTCTCCAGTAACACCCCTTCAGAATAACTTTCCTCTTACCTTTGTCAGAATCCTGTCAATCTTTGTGCTTCACCTGCAATATCCAAGAAGAACTTGGCCTCCATTGACAATGGCACTCCATTCACCACTCCCTTCTTCCTCACCTCTGACCCAAGTGGGAAATAAGTCACACTGTTATTGTCTCCAAATACTCAACTTTAATGTTAAATATCTCTGTGATACCTGGACACACTCAGGAATAACAATTCCACTTGTTGTAATTCTTAACAAAATCACTTCTCCAACTTTTTAAACTTTCTAACCACATGTGGATCCTTGAAAAATTGTGTTCGCTTGTGTCACAGCTCTCCACCCAACAAGATATGTATCATCCTTTGCCACTGATTGACTTGAATTGCTTGAATTATTAGTCCTCCTTCTTTTTTTCAAACTTTCTCATGGACTCATTCTGAATTTCGCTCTCTGATTTCTGCTCTGATGCCATATCCTCCATCTCCCCGACTGGAGCTGGAGAGGGGAAGGTTTTGCTTGATTTAACACAATTGATTGAACAGCAGTTACAGCTGCAGAGAAGCAAGTCCGTTCTGCTGTGTGACTGTGTCTAAATGCACTGTAGTGAGTAAGATGTATTTACAGAGGTTTTGGGGCTGGACCGCAACAACAGAGCCAGTGCTGTAACAGCAAAAGTCCATGACTGAGTATATGCCACCACTTCCTGTTTCAAAATAAAAGTCCTAGTTTTAAATTAAAAGCCCTCCAGCATTTCATACATGGTCCAGGCATACACTAGGTTTTGGCCGAGTCTTGCTTTCCCAAGAACAGGTCGCGGCCAACATGCCTTGGAAACTGAGATGCAGGACAAAATACACTGACAATAGTCAAATATAAAAAACAATACTTTCTAACTACATCAGAAAACTTGGTCTGAAAGAGCAAACAGCTTTGATACAATGAGCAGAACATGGTGCAAAATAAAGACTTACAGTAGTAGGAGTTGGAGTAGCCATCTAAAATTGCTGCTCCTAGCTGAAGGTGTTGGCTGCCGGCCCACTAGGATCCAGTCATATAGCTACTGAGAGTCCAACCCCCTCCCCATAAGATGTCTGACAAGTTCTTTCCACATTCCACAGTAAACACACCAGTTCAAGCACATTTCATTCATTCACTGAGAATTTTGCCTAGAGATAAAATTGCACTTACAGTATACATCAATGTCTGTGAAAACATGAATGCTTTACCACTGAAATTAACTTTTGATTCACCGACCAAGGGGGCCAGAAGATAAGGCAAAAATCCAAAAGCCAAGCATATTTCAACCACACAAAATAATAAATTGCCTTTTTGTGTCAAATATATATTTTTTTTGTTTTTAGAACAATTCATTGAGATAAGAAGGTGTTATGTTAAATACAAACTTTAAGAAAAATTAGAAATTTGAATCAAAACGACTGTAATATATTGAACAACTCATCACTCATCACCCTCTACAGATGACCCCTCCCTCCCTGATCAGCTGAACACCTTCTCTCGGTTTGACAGCAACACCAGCAACACGAGACTGCCATCTCCATCTCCAGCACCCCTCACACACAGTCAATATCCCTCACACACTACCAATCCCCCTCAGGAAGAGAGGCAACCAATGGTATTGCACCAGTACCAGGTTAAGTGGACCCTGCTCAACATCAACAGCAGGAAGACAACTGGTCTGGATGGGGTCCCAGGACGTGCTCTAAAGGCATGTGCACACCAACTTGCGGCTGTCTTCACCGACATATTCAGTAGGTCACTGAAGGAGGCCACAGTTCCTACCTGCTTGAAGCCCACGACCGTTATCCCCATCCCCAGGTGCTCAGCAGTTACAAGTTTGAATGATTATCAGCCTGTTGATACCGAACACCGAAAACCATGAAATGCTTTGAAAGACTGGTAATGCACCACATCAAGGCCTCCGTCTCTGCTGACCTGGAGCAGTATCAGTTTGCCTATAAAACCAACAGGTGCACTGAAGACACCATCTCACTCCTGCTCCACACTGCACTGACACACCTGGAGAACCCTGACAACTGCGTGAGAATATTGTTTGTTGACTTCAGCTCGGCATTTAACACTTGGGTCAACCCCGGGCAAGCTGGTCAACAAGCTGCTGTCACTGGGCCTGGACCACCACCTCTGCAGCTGGATTAAGGACTTCCTCTCCAACAGACCACAGCACGTGAGACTTGGAGATCGCATCTCCTCTAACACCATCCTCAACACCGGCACCCCCCAAGGCGGTGTTCTCAGTCCACTCTTATACCCACTTATATTCACACACGACTGCACTTCCATTCATAACACAAACTACACATACAAGTTTGCCGATGCCACAGTGGCGGTGGGGTTAATAACCAACAATGAGACAGCCTACAGAGAGGAGATCCAGGCCCGCACATCCTGGTGTCAGAACACGTGACTTGCTCCTTAACTCCAACAAGACAAAGGAGCTCGTCATTGACTTCAGGAGACACAAGGACACAACACATGCCAGTCTGGGGATCACTGGAGAAGAGGTGGAACAGGTGGGGAGATTCAAGTACCTTGGGGTTCATCTCTATAGACTGCTATAATTAAACTGGTCAAATCTAGACTACCTTGTCCCAGAGAGGCTAAAAATTATTTGAAACACAATTTCAGATTTCTAAACTTGAATTCTATTTGTGAAAAAGCAAAAACCTAGCAAACTGAATCAGTAAGTTATCATCTATCAACAATAACAGAGCGGCAAAGGACACAGAGTGAGAGTAAGCCATGTGGGTCTATGTTTAATTGAATCACAGTGGCGGCAGCTCCAGCTCCCGGCAGCAGCTCCAGCTTGTTTGGGTGTCCTATAAATATGATCAGCAAATGTATCTGTATGAAGAGGACCCCTGTAGAGAAGGATGGTTGATAGGCGTGAGGGCAGGGGAGTGCAGGAACAAAGGATGGGTGAGGTCTGTCTTTTGCCCTTTGTGGCCATGGACATTGGAGAAGGGGCATATATGGAGGTGCTGAGTAGATATAACACAAACACAAGGTATGGATGCATAAGAGGGGAATGTGAAGGGCAAAGTAACAAAGAGCGCAAACCCACACACACAAATATACTTGGCTAGGTCTATCCCACAACTCAAACACAATACAAACACACTTACAAATAACTGCTCCTTTATACATAAATGCCTCTAATAAATACTACTGTATATGTATGCTCAGCATTTTTCATGGTTCTGGTTCGGCATTCTAGCCATTACCATCTTGGCTTTTTGGAGCCAGAAGTGACCATATTTGGACAAGAGGTTGGATTTTAATATTTGGAGCCAGTCTCAAGTGGTCATTCATGGAACTGCAGTTTGTGGCACTTCCACATTGCCTTCATTTTTTTAGCCTTGGGGTTGGGGCTTGATACAGACAGGCAGAAACAGAGTAAAACATACACAAAAGGCAAATACAAAAACACACAAACAATTATTCCTCACACAAACATGTAAATGCAAACACACAAGCTCTGCCTCTGCTGGTCTGGCACCTGGCGGGGTGGAGTGGTGAAAGGCTGATCTTACCTGTGTGGAGACATTTTACGCACCAGTCACCTCAAATGACATCACCCCAGATAAACCCGCTAACCAAGTGCTCATGGGTCACCAAACACTGATGCTCCCACTTAAAATACCACATGCTGTTAGGTATTCAGGCTGCGGGCTACAGTAGCTATTAATAAACAGAGTTTGCTTCATGTAGAATGCAAGTGAGATAAACACAAGGATCATACACAAGGGAAACAATTCACTGCCTGCCAATACACACTACTGGGATTGACACTGAAGAACAAAAGCTTCAGTTGTCAAAACATTGTTGTCCTCAAACGGTAAGGTCATTCAGAGTCTCAAATACAAGGTGATTTTGTTTTCCTCTGAGCAATGGTTGCAACAATGCCTGAAGATCCATACAAAAAAAAAGGTAAAACTTAAAGGGACAGTTTCAATTCAATTCAATTTTATTTATAAAGCCCAATATCACAAATCACAATTTGCCTCACAGGGCTTTACAGCATACGACATCCCTCTGTCCTTATGACCCTCGCAGCGGATAAGGAAAAACTCCCCAAAAAAACCCCTTTAACGGGGAAAAAAAACGGTAGAAACCTCAGGAAGAGCAACTGAGGAGGGATCCCTCTTCCAGGACGGACAGACGTGCAATAGATGTCGTACAGAACAGATCAGCATAATAAATTAACAGTAATCCATATGACACAATGAGACAGAGAGAGAGAGAGAGAGAGAGAGAGAGAGAGAGAGAGAGAGAGAGATGCAGGTAATGACAGTAGCTTACAACAACATTATTGAAAGTAATAATATTATAGTTATAGTTCTGGCTACTGTGGTACAATATGTTGAAAGTATGTATTAATATCTGGCAGTATACATGTGTGACAATAGTCATATGTGTATAATAACAGTAGAAGTATGACTAATGACTAATGATGGCAGCAGCAGCAGGAGGCATCTGGCAGGACCACGGCAGCAGCACAACCACACACGTCACGCTGTCCAGGCACCGCTGCGATATGAGTTAATCTGAGAGACAGTGGAGCACAAAGGCTCCGGAGAAGAAGCCGAGTTAGTGACATCCAGAATGGCCGAGTTAGCAAGATGCAGTAATAGGATGAGAGTGAGAGAGAGAGAGAGAGAGAGAGAGAGAGAGAGAGAGAGGGAGAGAGAGGGAGCCCGGTGTATTATAGGGGGTCCTCCGGCAGACTAGGCCTAAGTCAGCCTAACTAGGGGCTGGTACAGGGCAAGCCTGAGCCAGCCCTAACTATAAGCTTTATCAAAGAGGAAAGTCTTAAGTCTAGTCTTAAATGTGGAGACGGTGTCTGCCTCCCGGACCGTAACAGGAAGATGATTCCACAGGAGAGGAGCCTGATAGCTGAAGGCTCTGGCTCCTGATCTACTTTTGGAGACTTTAGGGACCACGAGTAACCCTGCGTTCTCAGAGCGCAGTGTTCTGGTGGGATAATATGGCACTATGAGCTCTCTAAGATATGACGGAGCTTGACCATTTAGAGCTTTATAAGTTAACAGTAGGATTTTAAATTCAATTCTGGATTTTACAGGGAGCCAGTGCAGAGAAGCTAAAACAGGAGAAATATGATCTCGTTTCTTAGTTCCTGTTAGTACACGTGCTGCTGCATTCTGAATTAGCTGGAGAGTTTTTAAGGACTTACTAGAGCTACCTGATAATAGAGAGTTACAGTAATCCAGCCTTGAGGTAACAAAAGCGTGGACCAATTTTTCTGCATCTTTTCGGGTCAGGATAGGCCTAATTTTCGCAATATTACGCAGATGAAAAAATGCAGTCCGTGAGGTTTGCTTTAAATGAGAATTAAAAGACAAATCTTGATCAAATATTACTCCGAGGTTTCTTACGGTAGTGCTAGAGGCCAGAGCAATGCCATCTAGAGAAACTATGTCATCAGATAAAGAGTCTCTGAGTTGTTTGGGGCCAAGAACAATAACTTCAGTTTTGTCTGAATTTAACATCAGGAAATTGGTGCTCATCCAATTTTTTATGTCTTTAAGGCAGTTATGGAGTTTAGTTAATTGATTACTTTCTTCTGGCTTCATCGATAAATACAACTGTGTATCATCCGCATAACAATGGAAATTTATAGAGTGATTTCTAATGATGTTACCTAAAGGAAGCATATATAGAGTAAATAGGATTGGTCCGAGCACAGAACCTTGCGGAACTCCAAAACAAACTTTGGTACGTAAGGATGATTCATTACGAACGTCAACAAATTGAAAACGATCAGATAAATAAGATTTAAACCAGCTTAGTGCTGAACCTTTTAGGCCAATTAAGTGATCCAGTCTCTGCAGTAGAATTTGATGGTCAATTGTGTCAAACGCCGCACTAAGATCTAATAAAACAAGAACAGAGACGAGTCCTTTGTCTGAAGCAATCAGAAGGTCATTTGTAATTTTAACTAGAGCTGTCTCAGTGCTA